ACCCTCCTCTCTCTCTCTCTCTCTCACTCTCTCTCTCTCTCTCTCTCACTCTCTCTTCCTCCTTCTCCAACTATATTTATCCATTCTTCCTATTCTATTCTTGCTGAACGCTCGCCAACATAGCTGCACTGTTGCTCACAGGTTTCACGACCACACGATAGAATTTGGTGCCGCGTCGTACGCGATATCGATTCTCTGACTGAAACGAGAACGAATTATTTACTCGATCTTTTGATCGGATTATATGTAATTAAATGCGAGACGAGAAGCAATATTTTACCTTTCTAGCGTGACAGTACTGTTTATCCACAACCTCGACGATGCTCTGTGTGTTCTTCGTCGACTCGTCGGGATTCGAGCCGAGATCCAACTCGGACGAGGAATCCGTGTTGAGGAAGTAGAGCGTGGTTGACTCCTGGTACAACGTGTACGTGCCGTGGGTCGGATCCCAGAACATGAGCACGTTGTCCCCGGGATCGCAGCTGGTCACGGTGATGTGGCCCATCTCGGTCAGCTTCGTGGCCGTTTTCTGCATTTTCTTTTGAACGTGGGTCAAGCACGTGGTGCAGCCGCATCGGCGCTGCGGTTTCGGGCTGGTCGCCGCGTCCCTGCGCGCGCTCGACTCGGACACCACCGCCACGGAGGCGTTCATGTCCTTCTCGCGGCACTCGGACGAGGAGGAGGAGTCGGCGAAGTTCCTCGGCCGTTCCTTCACCAGCTCGATCTCGAGCCGGACCTTGTCCGCCTCCAACGCCTCGATCTTCGCCTCGGCCGACTCTTTGCTCTCGCGAAGCGATTGCAACTCGGCGCTCAACCTCTTGTTCTCGTTCTCGAGCAACTCGAGCCTCCTCGAGAGGCAGCAAGTCGGATCGTTGCTGCTCGCCTCCAACCGCACCTTCTTCGACTCCGACACCTCCACCTCGTCCTTCTCCGTCTCCAAGTTCTTGGCCACCTCCTCCAGACTGCTCTGACTCATTTCCAACTGCTCGTCGCTGCTCTCCTTGTGCAAACTCGCCTCGCTCTTGAACGTCTCCGACTCGGTCAAACGTCTGATCGTGCTCTTGTAACGCTTGCACTCGTCCGTCAGCGCCACCTCTCTTCTCCTGAACATCTCCATCTCTCTGTCCTTCTCCTCGATCACCTGCGTGGCCAGTCGAAGATCGTGGACCAACTTCGCCACGCAATCCGTCGTACGCTCGTCCTCGATCGTTCTTATGGCTTTCTCCTGCTTCATGTCTTGCGACGCCGAGGCCAACACGTGACCGGCCAACTCGATGAAATCTGGTCTCTGAAAGGAATAACGTTGGCGGGTTTTAAGGGAAGAGAGAGAGAGAGAGAGAGAGCGTCCTCGAGGAGGAATGAAATATCGTGTACTCACTTCGATCTTGCTGTCGGTGCTGTCGGTCGGGCTGCTCTCCATGGTCGTGGAGGCGGTCATCAGTTTGAACCGGCTCCTGATCGATTGAAGCTCGCTCTTGTACTCCATCTGCAGCTTTTCGGTCGCCTCCTTCACCATCCTCTTCTGATCGCTGCGCGCCGTGTCCAAACTCTCCTCCAATTCCTGGATACGTTTCTGGCATTGCGTGACGGAATTGGTGAGGGACGCTATCTCCAAGAACCTCTCGTCGTTCGCGCTCTTCACCGCCGACTCCTTCTCGGCGCGCGCCTGCTCCAACGCCTCCTCGAGCTGTTGGTGGAGCCGCGTCTGCAGCTCTCTCATCTCCGTTTGCTCGTTCTCCAGCTTCTGGCGCATGGTCGATATCAGCCGCTCGTGCTCCGCCAGCTCCGTCTCCTTCTCCATCACGCTCCGTTTCAACCCGCATATCTCCTCCTCCCGGTTCTGGATCATCTTCTTCACGTCCGCCATCTCGAGCTCGTGGTCCACCGTCAACTCTTGCTCCCGTTCACGGAGACGGCGATCGCACTCCCGGGTGTACAACGAGAGGGCCTCGCGGACCTGGTCGGTCGTCTTCGAGAAACCGGCCGCCTCCTCGTTCGAACGATCCCTGAGAACGGCCAACTCCTGGCGGACGGACCTCAACGCCTCGTACACCACCGCCTTCATCGTTTTCAACATGGAACGAAGCCTCTCCACCTCCTCCCGCGTGTTCCCAAGATTCTCCTGAAACGTCGACCGTCAGAAATGCGTCGATGAGTGGACCGTCGAAGAACGGTGTCCTTCTTGTTTTCAAACAGTCGCAAGAGAAAACAACTATCGTAACGTATTCGTTCGCAGGCGTGGTGAAGTGAAAAAGAGTAGAAAGAAAGAAAGAAAGAGTCGATCAATGTTGTTAGCGATAGATTAGGATAGAATAGTAGGGATCCCAAAGGTGAGTCGACGCGGCGATAAAGTTAAAGCGATGAAAATGCGTGATATCTCTCGTCTCGATTTTCGAAATATGGAAACGTACTTCGGGATCATGGGAGCGGGAGTATCGAGTGCGACGGCAGCTATCCTGTAAAAAAAAATCAAAACACACGCAGTCACACGAGACGCGGCCGGCTAATAATAAACGTTCAACGTGAAACGCTTAAGCTGTGTGCTCTAGAGAGAAAGGTTGGACAAATTAAATTCGACAAACTCGTGAAAGAGGCGATGCCAGGCAAGAGATACATACCCACACGACTTGGAAAATTACTTTGCAATAAGTCAGCGCTAATAGCTTACTGGATAGCGAATGTAAAGACAATGACAACGAAAGTTACCTAGAAACCACAGAAAGGGAAGTAAGTGGACATAAAAATTCAAATAAGCGGACAACGTCTAGTGAAAAAAAAAAAAAAAGAAAAGAACGTCTTTCCTTAAAAACGAAGATGCACGTATATAACATATATATATATATATTATAAAATATATTATTAATATACACTCTATTTTATATATATATATATAATATACAATATCGTAGATACAAGGAGGAAAATGATAGACACGCATAGACAAGGAGATACACGAATCAAAAATGGGAAGAAACTAATATTTGAAATATGTGTAAAGCAAACAAGTATATACACACATATATATATATATATATATCTCGTAAGAGGGATTGGGATGGGATAATGAATAAAAGTACGTGTATATATATATATATATATACATATACATATGTATATGTATATATATATACATTAGCGGTAATGGAACGTTTACGGCTACGACTACAAGGTCTGTTAGCGAGCTGTAAGTCGTCCAGTACCTGGAGAAGGGAAACGATAGCCTGATGCTGGCCGTCGGCGGGATGCTCGCTGAGGCTGCTCGGCAGAGACTCGTCCATGTAAAACTCGGTAGCCATGAAGTCGGTAGGCCCAACTCCTACGGATGGGCTGCTACCGCCGCTGCCCGACAACTGGTGACGTTGCTGCTGGTGCTGCTGCTGGCCGTCGCACATCACGGACCGTGACAGGGAGGAGGGAGGATTCGGGCTTAGGGAGTTTGCCTCCTCGGCGGGCATCGTGCTCGACGGCGCCTCGTGATATTTGGGAAGACAGTGGTTGGCACGGTGAAGCAAACAGCTCGACTCGCCGTTCTCGGCGCACTCGGTTAGCGGGCTCAGCTGAGCCGGACGCTCGCTCACGGACAGACTGGGGAAATGGAAGGATCCAGGCTCGCTCGAGGAGGATGACCGGTTCGTCAGGTCCGCGACTTTCGAATTAAGCGGGGATACGTTAGTCGAGGTCGAGGAAGCGGGGGAGACGCTTCGCGAGGCACCAACCTCCAATTGCTTCTGACGCGTTTGTTTCGCGCCATCGAACGACTCCGGTTTAGAGTCCGTGGCGCCCTGCCCGATCTTCTCGAACTCCTCCGTGTCCGTCTCCGATTCGAAACCACCCCTGAAAGTGAAACGAGGGTGAATCTCTTTGCTAAAATTCGCTAAAGTCCCCCCTCCCCCGGAAATACCTGTCGAACAGCATCGGAGCTCTGGCTCGTTCCTGCTCCTTGGTGGCCACGTCCACGCGCATGGAAGCGCCATCCTTCTCCTTGTTGTTCTCGTCTGTGCTGGTGAGACTCTTCGACAGGAAGAACTGAGTGATGCTGTTCAAGTCTGGCGACGAGATGGTGAGCGCCAGATCGGGTAGCTGAGATCTAAGAGATTCCATGTCCTCCGCCGTCAACTGCAACACGTACACGTTGCGCGATACAACGTCTCCTCTCGCCAATTAAAAGATAGAAATGCGAACGATTACCTTTGGCAGCCCGTTGTCGAAAACGGACGGCGCCTGGGTGGCGAATGGGGGTGGCGTGTCCTCGAGGCCGGGGAACAAGGTGTTGAGGAAGTGGCCGTCGAATTTGCTCTGAAACTCCCTTCTACGGGCCAATTCCTCGCTGTGGACGGTGAGCAATTGGCAGGCCAAGTTGCTTGCCCAAACGAGGAAAGCCTGGGAGAACGTTCTCCTCCTGACCACCTCGGCCACGGCGTTCATGTACATCTGGGGCGCGAGGTGGATCTGCTGAAGGACCTCGAGGTGCCTCCTCAAACGTTTCAGACTCTCGTGGTACATGACCAGCTTGCCGTCCACCTCCATCATCTTGTTCTCCACGTACATGATCCACTTGAGCCGATGATAGATGTTCACAGACAGCTCCTCCTTCGCCTTCGTGCACCTACGCCTTATGTCCCGCAACTTGTTGTGATTCTGCAGCATGACGAGCAGCTGGCGCCTGTGCGACGTGCACAGGTCGGGCAGCACGCTCGCGTCGCCCAAGTTGTTCGCCCGGCTCTGATTCTGGAGGAAGCCCTGGGCGAGCTCCCCCTGCTCCTGGACCAGCTTCTTCGTCTGGGCCATCAGCTGCTCCAATGCGAACAACCTCTCGCCCAGGCCCTTGATCTCCTTCATGTCCTGCTTGTTCGCGCTGTCTATGGCCGCGTTCACCTCGGCCTTCAACGCCTCCATCACCCTCTCGTCGAACTGCTCCAGGCCCCTCGAGCACTGCTCAGCCACCTGCTCCAGGCTGCTCTGATTGTCCTTCGCCGAGATCCATCGAAGCAGGCTCAGAACCTTCTCCCTCCCCTCCGAGTCCTTCTCGGGCTGGCTCGGCTGCTCGTCCGGGCTCAGCAAACCTTCCGCCTGGGCCCTCAGCGCCGGCAGGATCGGGATTTTCGCCAGGGTGCCCAGGTCGCCGTTGAAGCTACGAATTTGTCCCGTTTTTTGAAATTTTACTACTACCTCGAGATTATTTTGTTTCAGAACGTAATATGAACCGATCCAGGTCTCGTTAAAAATGTCGAATCCAGTGACGAACTCGATTCGGATGATATCCTTAGTCTTAGCTATTTATCGGCCGAGGCGAGAGTTTCTAAAATAAACCGGGCTTATTTATCTTTTCATGCTTACTTCTCGAGTAGTTCCATGTGCCGCTGCCTCTCCGACAAGTAAACGGCGAAGCTCTGCTGCAGGAGGTCGGCCCGTGACTGGAACATCTGAGTGATGTCCTCCAGATTCGCGACCACGGCTGCCCAACCCTGCTGCTGAAGGTGCTGATCGTGGACCAGCCTCTCGCAGATCCTCGTCTGCTCCCGCGCCAGTCCGCAGCACTGCTGGGCCAATTGGGCGCGGGCGATCAAGGTCTGGTAAGTGGCCGGCATCGCGAGCGACGCGTCGATCTGATTCTGAAGATCGACATCTGAAATTTCGAAATCACATATCATTCGCAGTTGGTCTCGATGAAGGAACACTTGAAACGAAGGACGATCTTTCGATCGAATTTTGGATAGATTTTGCGCTCTACCAACGGTGACAATATTTATTTATTTACGAACAGGCTCTTTGAGTGTAATCTAATATAAAGCGTGGAATGATATGCTATCGAATGGATTAGATTTTTTTGTATTTGAAATTGGATTTGACAGACGTTATTTTCAAAGCATATTTTCGAGCATCTTTTGCAAGCAAATCGAATACGGTAATAAAATTAGTTCGAGCGACTTTATTATTAAATTATCGCGCCAATTTTCCTTCTTTATACGTAAAAACAAGTATTAAAATATAAAAGTTTTATACGTTGATTTGTGCGTGAAATCTTCCTTCTTTCTCGTTCGATTACGATCCGATTGTTCGATTCTTGAAACGATATCGAGCTCAAGCTTCTCAGAATTAGGGATAACTCGTCGACGAAATCGGTTACGATCCTTAGGTCGGGCGCACGGTTTCCTTCACGAGGGTGAATTTCGAGAGCGAGTGTTGCCTCGAGTTGGATCCTCGCGGGTCGATAGCGTGGTGGAAAAACAAAGGAGGAGAGGAGCGTGTGCACGCGCTATCGATCGTGTGCACGAAGATGATGATCATGCGCTTTCGTCACCCCTTCCGATCGAACGTCCAATTTTTAATAGAATTCCCAAATTCAACAGTGGTATTTATTTAATTCATCTCGTGTTAGATTTTTACTACACGAATTTCGCCGCACTCCAGTTATCCCGTATATTTTCTAGAATTTCTAGAAGCTCGTTGTTGGGCTTTCTGGTTGCCAAGGTTGCTCGGTAGAACCCTCCCCAGTAATTGCTTCTCCGGGTGTGGAAATTTTTCCAAGCCCCAATTTCATCAGATGGTAGAACGTGGCCAGGGAATCTACTGTCGAAGGAAAGCCCAGTGAGTGATGGATCGTTTCGGGCCGCCACAAGGGAGGCTCGCACGAACCGTTTCGAGGAAATTGGCCAAAAATGCACGGGAAAATAATAATCGAAATTTCGTAAAATTCTCCCAGAATTCCCAATGGTTTCATGATGCGCAAGTGGCGTTCCCCGATCTTGCAATTAAAGAAATTACTCGCGAAATTAAATGAATAACGAGCAGAATGATCGCAGAATTGTTAACAGAACGATCGTAACGATTCAGAGGAGTGAGATCTCGTGCGATATTAACCCTGTAGTCGCTCTGCACGAGATATTGACGATACGACGATTGGAATATATCATCAATTTTTTCTCAGCTCAGAGGCGGACAAACGTTAATTCAAATCCTCGTTATATCTCTGCTCGAGGGATAGAGGAACGGATACCGTGTGCACGAAGATGATGATCATGCGCTTTCGTCACCCCTTCCGATCGAACGTCCAATTTTTAATAGAATTCCCAAATTCAACAGTGGTATTTATTTAATTCATCTCGTGTTAGATTTTTACTACACGAATTTCGCCGCACTCCAGTTATCCCGTATATTTTCTAGAATTTCTAGAAGCTCGTTGTTGGGCTTTCTGGTTGCCAAGGTTGCTCGGTAGAACCCTCCCCAGTAATTGCTTCTCCGGGTGTGGAAATTTTTCCAAGCCCCAATTTCATCAGATGGTAGAACGTGGCCAGGGAATCTACTGTCGAAGGAAAGCCCAGTGAGTGATGGATCGTTTCGGGCCGCCACAAGGGAGGCTCGCACGAACCGTTTCGAGGAAATTGGCCAAAAATGCACGGGAAAATAATAATCGAAATTTCGTAAAATTCTCCCAGAATTCCCAATGGTTTCATGATGCGCAAGTGGCGTTCCCCGATCTTGCAATTAAAGAAATTACTCGCGAAATTAAATGAATAACGAGCAGAATGATCGCAGAATTGTTAACAGAACGATCGTAACGATTCAGAGGAGTGAGATCTCGTGCGATATTAACCCTGTAGTCGCTCTGCACGAGATATTGACGATACGACGATTGGAATATATCATCAATTTTTTCTCAGCTCAGAGGCGGACAAACGTTAATTCAAATCCTCGTTATATCTCTGCTCGAGGGATAGAGGAACGGATACAGTGTCCACCGAGCTCTGCCTCTGTGGATAATTGATCGAGCTTCGAGCGATGTAATCTTGGCACGCGATGAAAGCTCAAGGTCGTGGACACGGCTCGCGCCATCTCTGCACACTTACGTCATAGCCTGGATTTCGGGCGGCGCGCACCTGGCGGCTCGTTCTCGTTTCGCTTCACAACATTTACGATTCCAAAATTATTACGATTGAATTTTCTTCTTCTTTTTTTTCTTTTTACGTCTCTTTTCAAAATATCGCACCCGAATATTCCGTTTGAAATTATTCCTATCTCGCACGAGGACGATGAACTTGGCCCATTTTTCCTTTCTTTTCCAATTTAAAAGTCTTGGAAAATCTTAACGAATTAGACGAGATGAATCTCCGTACAGGTTCAGCCGTCGACTGAACTACAGGTTTCGACAGGTGTGCCGCCTCGACATTGATGGAAGAGAAACTGTTTACGTCCCGAGAATCATTATATTTTTGATTGACGAATATCGCACGATCCCTCGAACGAGAAATCGTTATCGTATATTTCATTACATACATTCGAGCAAAGTTGTGCCGTGCAGAGAATGATTGATCGATGATTCAGCGTTGTCAAACGTTCAAACATTTCATTTTTCTCTTCTTTTTCGTCGGAAATATCGATCTTGGGAGAAATTTATCCAACGAAACTTGCTAACCGCTCCTCCTTTCGATTCGAAAAATCATATCGCTCGAACGAATAACACGATAGATCGATTTCGAACCCTGTCAACCGATTAAGAAAGAGGCCGCAATCATCGAGGAAAATTCATCGCCCTTCCTTCGTCTCGAGGGGTGGGTGAACGAAACACACCGAAATTCTCGGTCGGAGAGGGAAAGAAGGGGGAGAGCGCGCGAAGACAACAAGAAAGAGGGTGAAGGAAGAGTAAATCGAGGCTGAAGTATATATTGCACAACTGTTGGACAACGTATCGATTTTACGCCGCGCCGGTTCGCTCCCTTTTTTCCCTCCACGACGCCCCCAGTTTCCGTGTCTGAAAAAGACGGAGAAAGAAAGAGAGAAAGGGAATCTGTCGGAAAAAGAGATCGAAAAATTCGTGCGAGATTGAAAGAAGAGAAGTCCCGTTTGCTCTTAATTAAGACCGAATAGATCGAAACAACCTGACCGATTGATTTATCAATAATCAACGATTTTTCTTTCGACGCAAAAAACGTAGAGCATTGGCGATCATCGCGCGCGATTAGCCAGTTTTCCCAGTGACTGCATCGCTATCTATAGCGCCTGAACCATCGATCAAACATCCTTCGCGAAATCTTTTCTTTTTCCCAGTCTCGATCTTCTTCCAGTAAAATTCAGAGAAATTTCTTTTTTCCGATTTTAATCGATGCGATTCGGAGCAGAAATATATATATATATAGCTAAAGAGTTATCTTGTCTGGTTTCATTAACGAGCGCAACGCCGGTCGTAATATTTATAATTCTGCACGCATCGTGTCTATAAGGGGGTCCCAAAAAAAGATCGGAGGTGTGCAACATTGTTGCACAACGTGTGAAAGAGGAGGGAGGGATAGGTGGGAAAGATGATGATGAAAATTCGCTTCGTGTTTCGCGCACCGTATATAACGCGGCGGTGACCTCTTTTCAATCGCATGCGATTGCGTAAGCTTCCGGCGCAGGTTTGAACCTGGCAAACAGGGGCCAAGAATTTCACGGCACGACACTGAATTCCCAGAATATCTTAACTTGGACTAATGCTCCCCTTTTCTAATTATAAGTTCTACGCACCGCAAAACACACACCCACGCGAAACGTGGACACGCGCGCGCGCGCGATCGATAAGTTCGTCAAAAGCGACTCTTTCTTTTTTTCTCGAGAAACGAAAAGACACGCCACAGAAAGTTACGCATGAAAGATGAAGATCTTCAAAATTTCAATCTTATCCTGTACGGATAATCGAGTGTATACGCGGTGGATTATAAAGAGGGCGGCGATCCATCGCGAGTTATTAAAGGGTCGATGGGCCAGGCTCGGTCGTGGCAGAAGAATTCGTTCGGTCTCCGCATGACACGGCGTTCAAAAGGCAACGAGTCGATGGGAACGCGTGGACGCAGCAATGAGCGTGGCGGGTCGCGATCTTATCCACGGTGAAAACTCGGCCGTCCATCCGGTGAGAGGAGATGGGGTGATCGGTTGGTCGATCGCCAGGAACGATCTCGAGGTATCGCTCCATCGATATCGGCCGATTTCTCTCTCTCTCTCTCTCTCTGTCTTCTGCGTCGTTGTTTCCTCCACGCGATTCTTTATTTTCGTGAAACGAGGAAGCAACGATAGTTCTTATTCTTATCCTCGTGCGATAAATTCGGTTGGAAAGTGAATGGTTGTTGGAAACTCGCGTGTATTCTTTTTCTTTTCGTTTTTCGTCGTTGGATATTGGAGCCGGATACCGGGGGGGGGGGGGTCGTAAAACGGTACAAATTAGCGGTTTTCTCTGCCCGGTACCAGTGAAACTCGATACTTTTACCGTGCGTTTTCTCAATTAGAACGAATAGTTTTTCGCGATCGTTAATAATATAATAAACGAATTCGTTTCCGTCGACGAGCAGTTATAGACAAGAAGTTATTTGGCGGAATAAAGGGAAATGGAATTAAAAGGCGGGATTACAACACTGTTTTTTTTCTTTTTTTTTTGCATTAATTGCAGATCTTACTAATTCACGATCGACTTGCGGTGCAATGCAATTATTCCAGAAGAAGAAAAAAGGATTTACGTAAATGACGAGAATGGAAATTTTCCATCGGGAAGATATCGCGAAAAGTGCACGACCCACGATTCACTTGTCACGCGCACAACAACTTTCACTAGCTACACCCATATTTGATGAAATATCGCTTATTATCCATTCTCGTTAT